TCTATCTATCTATCTATCTATCTATCTATCTATCTATCTATCTATCTATTATCTATCTATCATCTGTCTATCTATCTATCTATCATCTATCTATCTATCTCTCTATCTATAATTTTTCTATCATCTATCTGTCCATCCATCCATCATCTATCTATCCACTGTCTGTCTGTCTCTATCATCATTTTTCTACTATATGTCCATCATCTCTCTCTCTCTCCATCCATCCATCATCTCTCTCTCTCCATCCATCCATCCACCTATTATCTCTCTCTCTATCCAGCTATCATCTCTCTCTCTCTCTCCATCCATCCATCATCTCCCTCTCTCCATCCATCCATCCATCCACCTATCATCTCTCTCTCCATCCACCTATCATCTCTCTCTCTCCATCCATCCATCATCTGTCTGTCTTTCTGTCTCTCCATCTCTCCATCTATCTATAATCTCTGTCTGCCTGCCTGTTTGTCCGTCCATCCATCCACTCACCCATCTATCTATTAATCTCTGTCTGTCTGTCTGTCCATCTGTCCATCCATCTATATTTAATCTCTGTCTCTGTCTGTTTGTATGTCGATGTCTGTCTCTCTCTGCCCATGGGGGAACCCAGGTTCGCTTTAACAACCGGGTCGGTTCACTAACTTAACCAACGGCAGCGATTCGCTTAACAACCGCTGCCAGAAAGGTCGCAACATGGGGCGAAACCCCGCTTTAACCCATGTCTCCCATGGCAACAGAGATTTTGGGTTCCGTTGTGGTCGTAAGTTCGAGGACTGCCTGTATGCGCTTCTGGACAATTCTCTCCCCTCCCCTTTCGGGCGATTCAGGTTCTGGATCCTGAAAAGCAAGCCGACATGCTGGATTCGCTCCGGATTTACCTCCTGCAGTTCGCCACCTTGCTGGTGGAACACGCCCCGCACCACATACACGACAACAACAAGAATCGCAACAGCAAATTGCGCCGCCTGATGACCTTCGCTTGGCCCTGCTTGCTCTCCAAAGCCTGCGTGGACCCAGCCTGCAAATATAGCGGGCACCTGCTCCTGGCGCACATCATTGCCAAATTCGCCATCCATAAAAAGATTGTCTTGCAGGTACGTGCAAGGGCGAAGAAAGAGGTGGCCTCTCTTTGGAAGCAGTTCTTCATACGTTTTAGCCTCCAGCCCCCTAACCATCTTCCTTCTATCCTTCCGTTCAGGTGTTCCACAGTCTCTTGAAGGCTCATGCAATGGAGGCTCGGATCATTGTCAGACAAGCCATGGCTATCTTGACCCCTGCGGTGCCTGCTCGAATGGAGGACGGCCACCAGATGTTGACTCACTGGACCAGGAAGATCATCGTGGAAGAAGGCCACACTGTGCCTCAGCTGGTCCATATCTTGCACCTGATAGTTCAGCACTTCAAGGTATGAACTAACTAACTAACTAACTAACTAACTAACTAACTTACTTACTTACTTACTTACTTACTTACTTACTTATTTATTTATTTATTTATTTATTTATTTATTTATTTATTTATTTATTTATTCTATTTCTATACCGCCTTTCTCCCGTAGGACTCAAGGCGGTGTACAGTCTAAGAAAAATATAGACACGCAAACATCATAAAATTGCCAATTAAAATTATTACTTAGTTTGGCCCAATTAAATAAAACCCAGAATTAGATAACATTTTTAAAAAATCATTCACATGTTCATATGTTTAGCCCCGCCTGTTGGAACATCAGGGTCTTGAGGGCACGGCGGAAAGCACGGAGATCAGGGATATTCCGTATCTCCGGGGGGCAGTTCATTCCAAAGGGTTGGAGCCCCCACAGAGAAGGCCCTCCCCCTGGGAGTTGCCAGTCGGCATCATTTGACTGACGGTACCCTGAGTAGTCCCTCCCTGTGAGAACCAACTGGTCGGTGGGAGGCTATTGGTGGCAAAAGACGGTCTCGGAGGTACCCAGGTCCTAAGCCATGGAGCGCTTTAAAGGTGATAACTAACACCTTGAATTGCACCCAGAAGACCACTGGGAGCCAGTGCAGCTCGCACTGCACTGCAGTATAACAGTGATATGCAAAGCAGGGACTGCTATGTTAACTCTTTAACTGCCTGGATATGTTGCACATTAAAAACCGAAACTGGTAACTAACTTAAGGACCACATGCCATGGTGGCCATGTTTGCTAGGTGTCTATGGAGATTCTCGGTCATCCAAGTCATGGTTGTCCCAAAGGTGTTTTTTTTTTTCCCAAGAGGCAACTGGGAAAAAGGAAGGAAGCCATGGTGGTGCAGTGGTTAGAATGCAGAATTGCAGGCTATCTCTGCCCACTGTCAGGAGTTCGATCCTGACTAGCTCAAGGTTGACTCAGCCTTCCTTCCTTTCGAGGGTGGTAAAATGAGGACCCAGATTTTTTTTTTTTTTTAAATTGATTTATATGCCGCCTGTTCTGTGACGCGCCTTTGCAGGTGTACTACCCGGTGAGACACCACTTAGTGCAGCACATGGTCAGCGCCATGCAGAGGTTGGGCTTCACTCCCAGCGTGACCATCGAGCAGAGGAAGCTGGCGGTGGACCTGGCCGAAGTGATCATCAAGTGGGAATTGCAACGGATCAAAGATCAGCAGGTAAACCCCTCGGGGGGGAAGCTGCCTGCGAGAATCGGGGGAATGCGTTGCAGTCTGTCGGCCGCCGGGCTCTCCAGCAGCTGAATTAGAGGAGCAGGAGGAGGAGCGGGAGTCAGGGTCAGCATCAAGGAAATCTGAGAGCTCCGAGGGGGAAGAGGGAATGGAGCTGGCAAAGAGCGAGAGACAGAGGCAGAGCCTGGGCCGTCCGTCAGCCCTCAGATGTTGAGTCAACAGCCCCCAGGTCTGGAGGTGGCTGATGAGGAAGAAGAGGAACAGCTGGGTCCAGTGCCTGATATGTGCAGATGGCAGAGGAGAGGAGAGCAGTGGAAATCTATGGGCTGGTCCTTGGGATGGAAGTGCAACCACTACTAGTGAAGCCCCACCCTAGCTCTGGGGATAAAAGGCAGGGGGCGGAGATGAATAGATACAGCAGACAACTATTCATCTCCCTGCCGGACAGAATTGTTAGCCTGTGTTGAGAGAGAAACATTTTACTGGGGATGTTGGCGCTCCTAATAAAGGAATCTTTGAGTTAACTTCAGAGGGTTTGTCGTGTTTGGGAAGCTGGGTCACAACAGAACGGGGGCAATTTCTGATCCCTGAGCCTCTGCTTTCTCCCTTTCTTTCCCCCCCCCTCTCCCCAAAAGCCGGATTCAGACATGGACCCAGGGGCCAGTGGCGAGGGCGTGAGTACTGCCTCGTCGGTGGTGAAAAGAGGACTGTCGGTGGATTCCGGTCAGGAAGTGAAGCGGTTCCGAACGGCGACCGGAGCAATCAGTACAGTAAGGATTTGGGGTTTGGGGTTCCCGTCCCTCGTTTCTTTTATCCCCTTGTGGCTTGCACTGCTTTTCCTTCGGAGGGAATCGAGAGCACTTTTATTTCTTGTATTTATTGTTAATCCCATATTTATTATTTTTATGAATAACTCAAACATAGCTAATGCTCCTTCCTCCTGCTGTTTTTCTCTGCAAAAACAGCCCTGTGAGGTGGGTTGGGCAGAGAGAGAGAGAGTGAGTCACTGGTCAAAAATTACCCAGCCGGTTCTCATGCCTAAGGTGGGACTAGAACTCACCATCTCCTGGTGATTGGCCCAAAGTCATCCAGCTGGCTTTCATGCCTAAGGCAGGACTAGAATTCCCAGTCTCCTGGTGATTGGCCCAAAGTCACTCAGCTGGCTCTCATGCCTAAGGCAAGACTAGAACTCACCATTTCCTGGTGATTGGTCCAAAGTCACCCTCCAGCTTTCATGCCTAAGGCGGAACTAGAGCTCACCATCTCCTAGTGATTGATCCAAAGTCACTCAGCCGGCTTTCGTGCCTAAGGCAGGACTAGAACTCACTTTCTCCTGGTGATTGGCCCAAAGTCACCCAGCTGGCTCTCATGCCTAAGGCGGAACTAGAGCTCACCATCTCCTAGTGATTGATCCAAAGTCACTCAGCTGGCTTTCGTGCCTAAGGCAGGACTAGAACTTACTTTCTCCTGGTGATTGGCCCAAAGTCACCTGCCGGCTTTCCTGTCTAAGGCGGAACTAGAGCTCACCATCTCCTAGCGATTGATCCAAAATCACTCAGCCGGCTTTCATTCCTAAAGCAGAACTAGAACTCACAGTCTCCTGGTTTCTAGCTTGGTTCCTTCACCAGTAGACCAAACTATTGATTATAAAACACTAAAAAAAAAAAAAGGGGGGGGGGAATAATCAACCGTAAAACTCAACAATCCTCAAAATAAGGAGCCAAGTAATGCAGAGGAATCGAAGGACTCCGTGTGCCTGTTGATATATTTAGAGCACCTTGGATTGTGGGTTTATTCTAATTTTTGCTGTGCGGTTTCCCTGTACTCGTAGGCTGTTGTAACACCTGGCTAACCCTCTGTGTTCTCAGGTGTTCGGACGGAGCCAGTCTCTTTCCGGTGCGGATGCTCTCTTCTCCAAGTCTATCGATAAGCAACATACCGACACGGTGATCAATTTCCTGATTAGAATTGCCTGCCAGGTACGGTGTGCTCTTCTGAAGCGAATGCGGTTTGGCTTGCTTAGTGTCAGAAAGTCGGTTTCTTTGCCTCCATTGAAGGGAGCCTTTTCTTGACCCTAATGCGGAGAAAGAGAAACCAAAATCCACTAGCATTGCCACCATCTGGGTGGATATGTGCTTAAGGCAACTTAACTCCGGGTGAATTGCAACTTTGCGAGGGCTGAGACAATATCCGAGGAGATCTTGTTCATCAAAAGTGGAAAGGCTGTGCCTCTACAAAGGGCAGGACAAGAAATAACGGAGGGAAACTTATCAATGAGAGATCCAACCTACCTTGTTTCCCCGAAAATAAGACCCAACCGGAAAATAAGCCCTAGCATGATTTTTCAGGATGCTGGTAATATAAGCCCTACCCCCCGCATGAAAAAGTGCTGCTGAGTTTTGTCCAAACCGGTCCCTTAGATTTTGAAGCCATGATAATTCTTCTTCTGCCTGGACCTCGTTTGCCTTCAATCTTTCCCTGGAGGATGAAGTGAAGGATGCCGTATTTTTCCGGGTGTCGCATCACAATGTCCGAAATATTCTCACTTTCGCTTTTTTATGGCTTTGATGATTTCCCTTGGCTTTCCCACGCAGCTTATCACCTCCTCATTTCTGATTTTGTCAACCCGGCGTATACATAACAGCCGCCTGTAAATCCGCATTTCAAATGCTTCTAGTTTCTTCAAGTGGTTTTTCTGTCCGGAGACCAACTCTCCACTCCGTAGAGCAGGATAAAAAAGATGTAGCATCTGACAAGCCTGATTTTCAGGGTAGGGTGGAGGTTTCTAAAACCTCGTTTCTCCATCCAGAAGAAATTTACTGGAAGGATTGAAGGCCATTTATCCTTTAATCAGTCATCTCCAGGTCTGTTTGGAGAAGCAAAATTGCCATTCCTGCGTACGCGGGAGGGATGATGGCCTTAAAATATTAATGAGCTCTAAAAGATGATGATGACAAATATTTGCCACCGGGTAATTATTCTGGTTAATTGCTAGGTAAATGACAACTCAAACACCGCCGGCTCTCCAGGAGAAGTGCTCTCTCGACGCTGCGTTAACCTTCTGAAGACAGCTTTACGACCGGACATGTGGCCAAAATCAGAGCTAAAACTGCAGTGGTTTGATAAGCTTCTAATGACCGTGGTAAGTTTGTGAGCGGTGGCTTTTTGAAAGAGCTAATCAGAGTAATTAAGTGCTTCATAAGCACCTTGGTTTTTGTTATTATGGGTTGTCCTGCGGTGTATGTTTGTTTGTTTTTTTAAAAAAAAAAAATTATGGAGGAAACCAAATCGGTTGCAAAGGGCTGTTTGCGGATGGAAAGCGAGCGTTCTTGAAATGTCACGTTGGCGTCTTTTAATTGCCAATTTAATTCGATGTCACGACTTGGAAAACGTTGGGCTTAATGGGATTGATTTATCGTCTCAAATAATGAACGCTCGTCCCCATTCTGGACTCGTGGGATGAAAAGTCGACGGCCTGCGAATGGGAAAGGAACAGCGAGGCAGCCAAGCTAGGCCCAGATACGGGATATTGATGTTAGATGCTTGTCTTTTTTTTTTCTCCTCCAATGCAAGCAACTCTTTTAAAAAGGTTGAGTTTCCAGAGAATTATTTCTTGAGTTCAGCATTGAGGTGTCTGATGGGAACTTCGTTCTTCTTCTAAGCAGCTCAGAATAGATGGTCCATGCACGTGAATTTTGGCGGTTGTGATCCCCGAGCCCATCTTATCGAAGGCTCCGAACATGAAGGAGAGGAGCCGGCCAGGCCTCCCTCTCCAGGCCCCTCCTCTCTGGCAATGCCTCAGGTGTCTGCCGAGGGAGAGGAGATTGACCAGGAGCCGGGTGTCTCCGATGACAGCGATGAGGGGGATAAGTCATTCCTGGATCCACGCCAACGAAGGCGAGATAAACGTTTGCAGCAGATGAGGAGGCGTGCCAGGGATTAAGCTGAGTCACTGGACCACACCCCACAGGCTATATAAGAGAGTGTGGTGGCCATTTAGACTCTGTGACGGACAAAGCTAACTTCTGGCTAGTCACTTTGTACAACGCCTGATCTGCTGAAGGTTTCATGTTTGAGCTGGACTGTTTTGAAAACTGTGTGTATTCGTTGGTGATTATCTGGTGGAGGAACACTCCCTCTTCTTGAAGTAAAGCACTTGGCAGACGGTTATCGTATTGCTGCCAAGTTCCTGATAACGAACCTTGTGTGTGCCGAGTACTTCTTTAACCCCCGGCTGGCTGTTTGTGTGTGTGTGGGGACGGGAACAGAACAGGTTGTGCCTTCAAATCTTCTTTTTCACGCCCACGTTTTGTTTCCAGGAGCAGCCCAACCAAGCCAACTTCGCCAACATCTGCACCGGCTTGGAAGTCCTCAGTTTCCTGCTCACCGTCCTCCAGTCTTCGGTGATCCTGAGCAGCTTCAAACCACTTCAGCGTGGGATCGCGTCCTGCATGACCTGTGGAAACACCAAAGTCTTGCGAGCCGTCCACACGCTCCTTTCTCGCTTAATGAGCAACTTCCCCACCGAACCAAGTACGTAATGGTCGCCGGGAATGGAAGCGGCCTTTCGTGGGTCCTCCTCGAAAACCAGGGTGGATAAAAATCGATGACTTTTTAAAAAAAAAAAATATTTAAAAAATCAGATTTTTTAAAAATTTAAATCGGATTTTTTTTTTTATTTTTATCAAATTTATTTTAATAAAATGCTTTCGGAGTAAAACTCTATCTAAAGATAGTTTTCTATTTAAGATACATTCATAATTCAGTTTATTCAGCATGAAATGGAGTTTAGTTATGGAGCATGTGGCTGTATATTCTGCAATATTGGGACTCTCGGTGAGTCAGAGAAGGAGCCGCTGCGGGACGGAGATGACTTGCTCTTTAAAAACTATGATTTATGGTATTTTTTGGAGTATAAGTCTCTCCGGACTATGAGACGCACCTATCTTTTTTGGGGAGGAAAACAAGAAAAAAAAATCTGCCTCTGCCTCCCAGCAATTTGTCTCCTTGCAGCAAACAACCGGTTTCAATTTCAGTTTCATTTTTAGCACAGCCTGATTAGCGCAAGGAAAAAAAAAATCTGCCTCCCAGCAATTTGCCTCCTTGCAGCAAACAGCAAACAGCAGAGGCCTGCGTGGCAATAGGCAATGCCAGTCACTGCAGCCTGAAACAGCTGATGGTTGAAAAGCCAATCCCAGCTTCTTGTGCTAATTAGGCTGTGCTGAATCTGAAACGGGCTGTTTGCTGCAAGGAGGTAAATTGCTGGGAGGCGGAGGCCAAAGGGTGGGGGCCGCCGGGTGGGCGAGGCTACAAGTGGTGTATAAGATGCACCCAAATTTTCACCGTCTTTTGGGGGGGGGAAGTGCGTCTTATACGCCAAAAAATACTGTAAATTGAGTTGATTTAAATTAAGCCTTTTTGCTAGTGATTTAAATCTTGATTTGAATCAAATCCACCCTGTTGAAAATGGGAGACCAAAAATCAAGGGCAGAACATTTCTCTGATGTCGCCTTTCTCTGTTGTGCTTTTTGTTACGGACTTCTTTTTATTTCATTTTATTTTTTTGAAAGTTGCACTCGCATCCCCCCAATTGAAATTAAAAAAAAAAAAATTAAGCGGAACTAGGTAACCACTAGAAAATACATCATTATCCGGTGGCATAAAAACTTAATAACCTGTGGCAGTTATTACTTTGGCTCAAGAAAATGCATGTCATAAATTTAATGTCTTTTTTTTTGCAATTACCGGGGTTTTTTCCCCACCCGCTCAGCTTTGAAAGTGTCGTTTTCTCAGTTGTTGAACATGGTTGTATTAATAAGACAAGGAAGGGAAATTAGGTGTAAAGAAGGACTTTCGATAAGACGGAGAGAAGTGAATACATTCCCTTTGGCCAATTCTTGCCTGGGGAGAGGCCTCATCAGTGGTGAAATCCAAATTTTTTTACTACCGGTTCTGTGGCCGTGGCTTGGTGGGTGTGGCAGGGGAAGGATACTGCAATATCCCCATTCCCTCCCCACTCCAGGGGAAGGATACTGCAAAATCCCCATTCCCTCCCCACTCCAGGGGAAGGATGCTGCAAAATCCCCATTCCCTCCCCACTCCAGGGGAAGGATATTGCAAAATCTCCATTCTCACCCCATTCCTGGGGCCAGCCGGAGGTGGTATTTGCCGGTTCTCCGAACTGCTCAAAATTTCCGCTACCGGTTCTCCAGAACCTGTTAGATCACCAGGAGGCAGTGAGTTCTAGTCCCGCCTTAACCATGCAAGCCAGCTGGGTGAGTTTGAGCCGATCACCAGGAGGCAGTGAGTTCTAGTCCCGCCTTAACCATGCAAGCGAGCTGGGTGAGTTTGAGCCAATCACCAGGAGGCAGTGAGTTCTAGTCCCGCCTTAGCTGTGCAAGTCAGCTGGATGAGTTTGAGCCGATCACCAGGAGGCAGTGAGTTCTAGTCCCGCCTTAACCATGCAAGCCAGCTGGGTGAGTTTGAGTCAATCACCAGGAGGCAGTGAGTTCTAGTCCCGCCTTAGCCATGCAAGCCAGCTGAGTGAGTTTGAGCCGATCACCAGGAGGCAGTGAGTTCTAGTCCCGCCTTAACCATGCAAGCCAGCTGGGTGAGTTGAGTCAATCACCAGGAGGCAGTGAGTTCTAGTCCCGCCTTAGCCATGCAAGTCAGCTGAGTGAGTTTGAGCAATCACCAGGAGGCAGTGAGTTCTAGTCCTGCCTTAACCATGCAAGCCAGCTGGTGAGTTTGAGCCAATCACTAGGAGGCAGTGAGTTCTAGTCCCGCCTTAGCCATGCAAGCCAGCTGGGTGAGTTTGAGCCAATCACCAGGAGGCAGTGAGTTCTAGTCCCGCCTTAGCCATGCTAGCCAGCTGGGTGACTTCGGACCAGTCCCTCTCTACTCAGCCCAACCCAACCCACCTCACAGGGTGGTTGTTTATTATTTATTTATTTATTTATTTATTTATTTATTTATTTATTTATTTATTTTATTAATTCAATTTGTATGCCGCCCCTCTCCGAAGACTCAGGCGGCTCACAATGCATTTAAAATCATTATAGAAAACATTTAAAAATTATTAAAAACATTAAAACTCATTCACACCATTTATGGCCGGATCTCGCTGGATCGCATTGTTGCGGGGAACATGGTTGTGGGGAAAATGGCAGGAGGCAGATGCGCTGGGTTATGTTCTCTGCCTTGAGTTTATTTGTACAACTAATAAAAGGTGGGCTATAAATAAATAAGAGAGAAAATACACAATACACAAATACACTTGCTAAAAGTTGAACAATCCCATTCAGCATGGGAATCTCTCTCACACTCTGTCTACTCTTGTGTAGGTACTTCAAGCGTGGCCTCCAAATACGAAGAACTGGAATGCCTCTACGCGGCTGTTGGGAAGGTTATTTACGAAGGACTTACCAACTATGAAAAAGCTACCAGCGCGAACCCTTCTCAACTTTTTGGTAAGCCCTTTGACTGATCGCATCGTTACGATTGAGCACGTAACCAGGAACAAAACAAAACAAACAAAAAAAGGCCTGATTTCATTTATATTAATATTTGGAGAACTGCGAAGGAGAGAACTTTCTATAGTTTTTTGATTTTTCTTTTGCTGGCCATTCAAAATAGACTTAAGAATTTGCTGGAAGGGACCTCGGAGGTCTTCTAGTCCAACCCCCTGCTCAAACAGGAGACCTTCTACCATTTCAGACAAATGGATGTCCAGCCTCTTCTTAAAAATCTCTGTTGATGGAGCACCCACAAGTTATGAAGGCGAGCCGTTCCACTGATTAATTATTCTAATTGTCAGGAAATTTCTCCTAATCTCTACATTGAATCTCTCCTTGATTAGTTTCCATGGGGTCTCTCTTCCTCCTCCCCCTCTCCCCTCCCTTCAGAGCTAATAAGGTAAAGGTAAAGGTTCCCCTCGCACATATGTGCTAGTTGTTCCCAACTCTAGGGGGCGGTGCTCATCTCTGTTTCAAAGCCGAAGAGCCAGCACTGTCCGAAGACGTCTCCGTGGTCATGTGGCCGGCATGACTCAACGCCAAAGGCGCACGGAACGCTGTTACCTTCCCACCAAAGGGGGTCCCTATTTTTCTAGTTGCATTTTTTACCTGCTTTCGAACTGCTAGGTTGGCAGAAGCTGGGACAAATCACGGGAGCTCACCCCATTACGCGGCACTGGGGATTCGAACCTCTGAACTGCCGACCTTTCAATCGACAAGCTCAGCGTCTTAGCTACTGAGCCACCACGTCCCTGAGCTAATACACGGCCCTTTTTAAGTTATTGTTTCTTAGGCCCTTTTGCGAAAAGAATTACAAGTAATTGTTGACTTGCAACCATTCATTTAGTCACTGTTCAAAGTTAAAGCGAATTGATGTCTGGGAGCTGAAGTCCATAAAGTGGCCAAGGTTGGACATCTCTAATGGAAAGCTACTGTATTTTAATAAATTGTGGTTCATGCTGGCTTGGGAATTCTGGGAATTGAAGTCCCCGAGTCTAAAAATTGCTAAGGTTGGACACCTCTGATCTAAAGGTAGAAAAGAGTTGGCTGGGGAATTCTGGGAGTTGAAGTTCCTAAGTCTTAAAATGGACGAAGGTTGGATACCTCTGACGTAAAGCTATTGTATTTTAATGGCTCATGCTGGCTGGGGAATTCTGGGAACTGAAGTCCATAAATCTTAAAGTGGACATGTTTGGACACCTCTGATGTAAAGTGAGTGTATTTTAATGAGTTAGGGTTCGTGCTGGCTGGGGAATTCTGGGAGTTGAAGTCCACAGGTCTTAAAGTTGGCAAGGTTGGACACCTCTGATGTAAAGGTACAAGAGTTGGCTGGGGAATTCTAGGAATTGAAGTTACTAATTCTTAAATTGGACGAAGGTTGGACCCCTTTGATGTAAAGTGACTGTACTTTCATGAGTTAGGGCTCATGCTGGCTGGGGAATTCTGGGAGTTGAAGTCCATAAGTCTTAAAGTGGACATGTTTGGACACCTCTCATCTAACCTCTCTTATCCCTTTCAGAATAGCCTTAGTTGAGGCCAGTTCAAGGCAGACGGGTTCGATCCTGTTCTTATTCTCCCAATAACGCCCGGTTCTGTTTCCTTTATATTTTTTTAGGTACTTTAATGATCCTCAAATCTGCCTGCAGCAATAATCCGAGTTATATCGACAGGCTTATTTCGGTCTTCATGAGATCCTTGCAGAAGATGGTGAGGGAGCATTTGAACCAGCAGACTCAGTCAGGAACCGTGGAAGCCAATACAGGTAAGTAACAGATAACAGATTAACAGAGTTGGAAGGGACCTTGCAGGTCATCTAGTCCAACCCCCTGCCCAAGCATTTAACCCTACGGCATCTGTGACAGATGGCAGTCCAGTCTCTTCTTGAAAGCCTCCAGTGACAAAGCTCCCATAACTTCCAAAGGCAACTTCTGTTCCATTGGTTGATTGTTCTCACCATCAGAAAATTTCTCCTTATTTCCAGGTTTAATCTCTCCTTGTTCAGTTTCCATCCATTATTCCTTGTCTGGCCTTCAGGTGCCTTGGAAAATAGCTTGATCCCTTCCTCTCTGTGGCAGCCCCTCAAATACTGGAAGACTGCTATCCTGTCTCCCCTGGTCCTTCTCTTCACTAGAATAGCCATGCCCAGTTCCTGCAACCGTTCATTATACGTTTTAGCCCCCTCATCATCTGTTGAGGTTCATGCTGGAGCAATTTTGATCCTTAAAATGGAGAGTTTGGCTGGTTTGGGGGCAAGGATTTGATTTTCATAGCTATCATCTCTTGTTTTGGAGAGCTGAGAAAACTTGTTCAGGTGAACCATTCATGAAAAGAAGATTGGGCAGATCCAGAAATATCCCCTCTTATGGAGTCGATCAAGTGGCTAGTGTGATATTGTATTTGTGGCCGCTGTTGAGTGGTGGTCATTTTTTGGGAGTTTTACGTGATGGATTCTTAATGCTGCAAATCCCAAAGCTGCTTTTTGAAAAGGCAACTGGACTGTATTTTTCCTCGAAGACGTTTCGCTTCTCATCCAAGAAGCTTCTTCAGGATGAGAAGCAAAATGTCTTCAAGAAAAAACAAAACAAAACAAAACAAAACAAAACAAAACAAAACAAAACAAAACAAAGGGAAGTCCAGTTGTTTCTTGAAAAAGCACCTTTGGGACAACCATGACCTGGATGACTGAGAATTTCTGTAGACATTAATGCTGTAAGCTGCCTGTATAAATTCCTTGAATGAATAAATAATAAAGAATTAGAATTAGAATTAGAATGGGGATGGGGATGGGGATGGGGATGGGGATGGGGATGGGGATGGGAATGGGAATGGGAATAGAATAGAATAGAATAGAATAGAATAGAATAGAATAGAATAGAATAATAGAATAGAATAATAGAATAGAATAGAATAGAAAATAGAATATACCTATACCTATACTTATACCTATACCTATACGATAAGTATGCTATACTATACTATACTAATACTATACTATACTACCGTGTATCCCTGAAAATAAGACCCTGTTTTATATTTTTTTGAACCCTGAAATAAGCGCTTGGCCTTATTGCCATGCGCTCAAAAGCCCAATTGGGCTTATTATCAAGGAATGTCTTATTTTGGGGGAAACAGGGTATACTATAAGTATAAGTATAAGTATAAGTATAAGTATAAGTATAAGTATAAACTATAACGTATAAGTATAAGACCTATTATTCCAAGATATAGTAGTAATATTTTATATATATAATTTATAAGTGGTGTATAAGTATAAGTATAAGTATAAGTATAAGTATAAGTATAAGTATACTTTATTGGCCAAGTGTGATTGGACACACAAGGAATTTGTCTTTGGTGCATATTCTCTCAGTGTACATAAAAAGACAAGATACGTTCATCAAGAATCATAAGGTACAACACTTAATGATAGTCATAGAGTACAAATAAGCAATCAAATCATACTAGGAAACAGTCAGTATAAATCGTAAGGATACGAGCAACAAGGTTACAGTCATACAGCCATAAGTGGGAGGAGATGGGTGATAGGAACAATGAGAAGATTAATAGTAATAGTAATGCAGATTTAGTGAATAGTTTGACAGTGTTGAGGGAATTATTTGTTTAGCAGAGTGATGGCGTTCGGGAAAAAACTGTCCTTGTGTCTAGTTGTTTTGGTGTGCAGTGCTCTATAGCGTCGTTTTGAGGGTAGTATTCAAGGGTTCTGTACCTTCATCGTGTTAAGCCAGATTTAAGGCACTGAATCACGCCTTAAACCATGGCCTGTTGGTTGAACCACACTCAATCCTGGTTGCTATCTTGATTGTGTTTGCAGCTGGCACCAGCGAGTTGGTTATGCTGAGTTTGGACTTAGTGAAGACCCGTCTGGCTATGATGAGCATGGAGATGAGGAAGAACTTCATTCAGGGCATCCTCACCTCGCTGATTGAAAAATCGAGTGATGCCAAAATCCTGCGTGCCGTGGTCAAAATTGTGGAAGAGTGGGTCAAAAACAGCTCGTCCATGGCGGCTAACCAGGTAACCTAGCGGGAACATGGAGAGGGGAAGAATAGACTCGAACCTGGCCTTATGGTTAAGGCACCTGACTAGAAAGAGGGAGATGATGAATTATAGTTCCACATTAGGCATGAAAGCCAGCTGGGTGACTTTGGGTGAATCACCAGGAGACGGTGAATTCTAGTCCCGCCTTAGGCATGAAAGCCGGCTGGGTGACTTTTGGCTCATCACCAGGAGATGGTGAGTTCTAGTTTTGCCTTAGCCAAGAAAGCCGCTGGGTGAATTTAGGCCAATCACCAGGAGACGGTGAATTCTAGTTTTGCCTTAGCCAAGGAAGCCGGCTGGGTGACTTTGGGCCAATCACCAGGAGACGGTGAATTCTAGTCCCTCCTTAGCATGAAAGCCAGCTGGGTGACTTTGGGCCAATCACCAGAAATGGTGAAGTTTTAGTTTGCCTTAGGCATGAAAGCTGGCTGGGTGAATTTAGGCCAGTCACCAGGAGATAGTGAATTATAGTCTCTCTTTAGCCAAGAAAGCCGGCTGGGTGACTTTGGGCCAATCACCAGGAGACGGTGAGTTCTAGTCCCGCCTTAGCCAGTATTGGTAAGGTATTAGCCAGCTAATACTGAAAGCCAGTATTGATACAGATGATATAGGTAGTCCTTAATTTACAACTGATGGCTTAGCGATTATTAAAAGTGATAAGAGACCTCCCCAGAAGTACTTACAACCTGCTTCCAAAATTTTGATGTCTCCTCTCTTTCCCCGGTATCACATAATAATAATTTTATTGCCATCGTACATGTATACACAGTATACCCATACAACGAAATTCACTTAACAGTGAATAAACGGCAGGGTTTTGCTTAACAACCATGAGCCAAACTGGTCATAAAACCAGGCACGACTCCCTTAGCCAACAGAATGGAAGCTCTGGTCCCAATTACGGTCGTAACTTGAGGATTAACCTGTGCGTTTGACTAAGAGATGATTTCAAAAGTGAGCTAAGTTCACCGGCAGCTGTTCTTTTGCCCTCTTTGGGAAACAAAGCTGAGGAAAAAAAATGAAGAAAATGAACATTTTCCCCCCTCTCTCTCTTTTCCCCCACCCCCAAACAGATTCCAACGCTGCGCGAGAAGTCCATTCTGCTGGTAAAAATGATGACCTACATTGAAAAACGTTTTCCCGAGGACCTTGAATTAAACGCTCAGTTCTTAGACCTTGTTAACTACGTCTACAGGTAAATTACAGCAATTAATCAACCCCCGGCCCAGTCCCACGGTTCATAATTTGCGCCACGTGTGACCTTAAGAAGGCATCATTCATCTTTTGAAGTCAAAAGGCCTAGGGATTGGGGACAGTTGCGGCGATCAATTTTGCAGTTCCCCAAGGTTTTAGCTGGGGACGCGGTGGCTCAGTGGCTAAGAGGCTGAGCTTGTCGATCGAAAGGTCGGCAGTTCAGAGGTTCGAATCCCTGGTGCCGAGTAACGGGGTGAGCTCCCGTGACTTGTCCCAGCTTCTGCCAACCTAGCAGTTCGAAAGCAGGTAAAAAATGCAAGAAGAAAAATAGGTGGGAAGGAAACAGCGTTCCGTGCGCCTTTGGCGTTGAGTCATGCCGGCCACATGACCACGGAGACGTCTTCCGACAGTGCTGGCTCTTCGGCTTTGAAATGGAGATGAGCACTGCCCCCTAGAGTCGGGAACAACTAGCACATATGTGTGAGGGGAACCTTTTCCGGTCCCTTTTAAGGTTTTAGCTCTTGTTCCCACTGTGCCACCACGGCTTCCTTCCTTCCTTCCTTCCTTCCTTCCTTCCTTCCTTCCTTCCTTCCTTCCTTCCTTCCTTCCTTCCTTCCGAAGCAATAGCAGACTTATATACTGCTTCACAGTGCTTTTACACCCCTCTCTAAGTGGTGTAAAGAGTCAGCCTATTGCCCCCAACAATCTGGGTCTTCATTTTACCGACCTCGGAAGGATGGAATGCTGAGTCAACCTTGAGCCAGTCAGGATCGAACTCCTGGCAGTGGGCAGAGATAGCCTGCAACGCTACATTGTAACAACTGCACCACTATTTCCTTCCTTCCTTCCTTCCTTCCTTCCTTCCTTCCTTCCTTCCTTCGCCAAATTGCAATCAGCCCGCAGTCAGCAGAAGGAGCCTGCAGTGCTGCACTCTAACCACTGCGCCACCGAGGCTCATAACCACATAATCGTGATTTATAACGCCTTTGCTGAGAATCCAGTTTCCTGCAAAAACGCCCCATGGGTTCATTTAATGACCGCTGTGTTCCCTTTACGACCACAGCGTTTGCTTAATGACTGCCAGAGAAATAGCTCATGAAATCCAGCCAGTCACGTGAGTGACCCCCACTTTGCGACTCTCATGACCAGGTTCCATTATGGCCATAAGTCAAGGACTTCCTGTCATGTCCAGGAAGAGCGTTCTCGTTAGCCGACTCCTACAGGTGAACTTATTCCATGTCTCTCCCCTAATTATTTTTAAACCTTTACTACCAGGAGTGGAGCGGGGTGGCTCGAGTGGTTGGAATACTGGGCAGGAAGTTAGCAAGCCCACGTTCGAGACCCGACGGCTGCCTCGGGACGGGGTTGAGCTCCTGTCCTTCCCTCCAGCTCCTGTTAGGGACATGAAAGGAGCCCCCGACTCGGCATCCTCAGGGCAACCGTAATGTCACCGGCTAATCCTTTCAACCCGGAAGTTTCTGAGACAACTGCTAAAAAACAAAACAACCAGGAGTAACTTAAATTCCTCCTCCCTTTGTTTCTTCTTAGGGATGAAAACCTTTCGGGGAGCGAGCTGACCGCCAAGCTCGAGCCAGCCTTTCTCTCTGGCCTCCGATGCACCCAGCCTCTCATCAGGGCTAAATTTTTCGAGGTCTTCGACAGCTCCATGAAGCGACGGGTCTACGAGCGGCTACTGTATATCACCTGTTCCCAAAACTGGGAAGCCATGGGGAACCATTTCTGGATCAAGCAGTGCATCGAGGTGAGGATACAAACAGGCAGGGGTGAAATGTAAAATTAGTTACTACCGGTTCTGTGGACGTGGCTTGGTGGGGTGGGGGGGTGGAGTAATGTGAAGGTGGGCGTGGCCAACTTTAAAAAAAAAAACCTTTTCAAAGCATTTTTTCTAATGCTTTGAAAAGCCTCCGGCGATCAGGCAACTCAGCTGGGTGTTGTGGCCCTGCCCTCTGAGCCTGTCCCATCGGAGGAAGAAAGCTCCAAGCATGAGGAAGAGGAGTCAGCCAGGCCTCCCTCTCCAGGCCCCTCCCCTCTGGCACTGTCTCAGGTGCCGGCCGAGGGAGAGGAGATTAGCCGGGAGGCAGGTGTCTCGGATGAGAGTGAGGGAGAGACGTCATTCCTGGACGCACGCCTCCGAAGGCGTGATAAACGATTGCAGCAGCTCAGGAGGTGTGCTAGGGATTAGAACTGAGTCACTGGACCACACCCCAGAGACTATATAATAGAGGGTGGTGGCCAGTGATCCCTGTGCCGAACAAAAGTAAACCTTGGATAGTCACTAAAGCCTCGTCCGAAACTGCTGAGAGGAATATTATTCTGTTGGACTCTTGTACGCTGAGTATATTATCTTTCTGTCTCTGTGGAAATAAAAGCACTTGGCAGACGGTGTGTATATCGCTGCCAAGTTGGAGATAAAGACCTGGGTGTGTGCCAAGTGCTTCCTTAACCCTTGGTTGGCTGTGTTTGTGTGTGTGTGTGGACGGGGACAGATCACTGGGATCGTCAGAGAGGCTCTTTTAAAAATGCCTCTCTGCCGATCAGGCAACTCAGCTGGGATCCTCAGAGACTTTTCAAAGCATTTTTTTTTTAACCACCTCTTCGGCCAAGAGGTTGCAGAAAAAAAAATGCTTTGAAAAGCCTCTGACGATCCCAGCTGAGCCGCGTGATCATCAGAATTGCCTGGTTTAGCGAACAGAAGGACTAGGGGTGACATGATAGCAGCCTTCCAATATCTCAGGGGCTGCCCCAAAGAAGGGAGGAGGGTCAACATATTCTCCAAAGCATCTGAAGGTAGTACAAGAAGCAACGGGTGGAAACTAATCAAGGAGAGAAGCAACTTAGAACAAAGTAGAAATTTCCTAACGGTGAGAACAATTAGCCGGTGGAACTGCTTGCCTCTAGAAGTTGTGAATGGTCCAACGCTGGAGGTTTTGAAGAAGAAATTGGACAACCATTTGAAATGGCCTACAGGGTTGGACTAGAAGACCTCCAAGGTCCCTTCCAACTCTTTATTATTCTGTTGTTGGATCGGGGTTTGGGCACCCCTGGTCTAAAAGCGGTTAACTATGTCTATGGGTTGTGTCTCCAACCTCTGTCTCTTTTTTGTTTCAAATCCCTTCCAGCTCCTGCTGGCGGTTTGCGAAAGAAACACAACGATTGGCACCAGCTGCCAAGGAGCCACGCTTCCCTCCATCACCAATGTGATCAACTTGGCAGATAGTCACGACCGGGCCGCGTTCGCCATGGTGACTCACATCAAGCAGGAGCCTCACGAGCGAGAAAACAGCGAATCCAAAGAAGAGGTAAAGTTTTATTTCATTTCTCCCCAACGTTACCAGTACGTCAGCATTTTCCTCCCAAAAATTGCCCTGTTGGCTGAGGAATTACGAGAGTTGTAGTTAAGACGACTGAATTTGTAGAATTGGTGTTACAGGAAGTCCTCGGCGTACAACCGCTTGTTTAGTGACCGAAATTACAACGGCACTGAGAGAAGGGGCGTCTGGCCGTTTTTCACACTTAACGACGGTTGCCGCCTCCCCACGGTTGCCTGATCCAAATTCAAACGCTTGGCAACTGGCATGTACTTATGCCGGTTGCAGTTTCCCAGGATCATGTGATCCTCTTTTGCGACCCTCTGACGATCAGAGTTAATGGGGAAGCCAGATTCACTTAACAACCGGCTTAACTGATTTATCAACTGCAGTGATTCACTTAACAACGGCGGCAAGAAAGGTCGTAAAATGGAGCAAAATTCACTTAACAACTGCCTTAGCCACGGAACCATATGGCCATTCGCACCATCCCACGGTCACATGACTGCATTTTATGATGGTTTCCCCCTCCCCCCAAACTGACATTTACTTCCTTTTTTTGGCAAAAACTGCGCTCATTGTGAACCATGGGTTTGCTTAACGACGGCGGCCTTTGCTTAACGACGGCGGCGATTGTTAAATGACCATAGCAGTCCCTTAGTGATCGCCCCACAAAACAAAGGCCATAAAATTGACTGCCACGAGTTACGACCACGATGGGCATGTTTTATCACGGTCATAACTCGAGGTTTTCCGGTATTCCTGTACACTGCTTACATTGGTGTTACGTGAACATGTCTGGTTGCAAAACTCTGGCCTTCTCCCCTTTACAAACAGGATGTCGAGATAGACATCGAACTGGCTCCCGGAGATCAGACGAGCACCCCGAAAACCAAAGAACTCTCCGAAAAGGACATTGGGAACCAGTTGCACATGTTAACCAATCGCCACGACAAATTCCTGGACTCTCTGCGCGAAGTGAAGGTGAGTTGATGCTCCCCCTGGAATTCCACAGCTGCCTGTTGTAACCAAGGCCCAAGTAGGTGTTATCAGACGCAGTCAGCTCTAAACAAACAGATTTTATTAGAACAGCTGAGAATGAACTCTCATTCTCAGCGTAGTCCAAACTAAATTAAAGCAAATTCTTCATAACACATTTCTTCAGCCTTATCACCAACCTTGGTCTACTTTGGCAACCTGCCAACATTTTTTTCTTGGCAAAAGTTCAGAAGCAGGAGACGCCGACAAGAGAGAAGTGCAGCAAGACAAGAAACAAATCTATCAACGTTGTTTTCCGACAAAGAGCCCAAGAGCCGTTGCTGCTCTTTTAAGCCTTATGGGAGGGGCCAATCATCTCTTGGCCTTACTCCTGAGTCGTCCTTTTTGCTTCAGCTGCTCTTGCCTTCTCACAGCTCTTCTCACGCATGCACTAGGAACAGGCTCCTCCTGTTCCTCTGCCTCTCTGCTGTCAGTCACTGGAGGCTCCGGAGTCCGCACATCACTCCCCGATGGCCCTGGCCCCATCTCTGCCTCTGATGCAGAGACCTCATCCGGGCCTTCCTCAGCCTCCAGGACTGGCCCATGTTCTTCCTCAGCCTCCTCACTGTCTGACTCTGCAGGCTGCCGGCGGACCATAACAGGGTCCTTTGAAGCATCGGCGCCTATTCTGTGGTGCTCGCGCTACTAAAACCCCTTTGGGTGGGAGAGAAGTTGCATTGCAGGTCATTCATTAGGGTGTCTCTCATAGCATGTTGGGGTTGTAACCATCCCCCAGTTGGTCTGCTGGGTTATTATAGCAACAACTCTTAGACTTATATTCCGCTTCACAGTGCTTTGAATCGCTCTGTCATTGGTTTACAATGTTAGCACATTGTCCCCGACAATCTGGACCCTCGTTTTACCCACCTCGGAAAGATGGAAGGCTGAGTCAAGCTTGAGCCGGTCAGGATCGAACTGCTGACAGTGGGCAGAGATAGCCTGCAATACTGCATTCTAACCACTGCGCCACCATGGCTTCCTTCTTTCCTTCATACCTATACTTGTTATCTTGTACATGTTTGACAAATAAGCAAAATCAATCAATCAATCAATCAATCAATCAATCAATCAAAGTTCAGTTGCCTTTCTAAAAAGTACCATTGGCAAGGGAAATTAAACGTTTGCCAGCTACCTTCAATGGCTCTTTCTTTTAGCATTAAAAAGCTCTTTTCTGGTGCTGAAAAGTGAGTAGGTATCATTAGTAGCAATTGAGGGAAGATACTCCTAAGTCAAGGGTACCATAAATAATTTTTTTTAAAAAAAAATGAGGTGAAGGGTGTACGATAGTTATTAGCGTCAGCGGTACCCTTGATTTCCGAAGGTGAAGTTCATTGGTTTAATGACAGATGAATTATGCAAATATATCAGGCTGGAAGCTGTTGAGAACTTTGCCTTGGCAAATCTGGCAAAATGAGTGACAGCAAAGCCACGAGGTTGTGTTCTTCTCCAGGTCCAGATAATTTGAACGGGATGCACAAAGAGGTGGGTTTCAGCTGGTTCTGACCGGTTCTGGAGAACTGGTAGAGGAAATTTTGACTCGTTCAGAGAACAGGTAGTAAAAATTCTGACTGGCCCCGCCCTCATCATGATGAGCTGCCAGAAGGCAGGAGCAGATAAAGCAGAGAGGACAACTCGAGAGTAGGGCCAAGAGATGATTGGGGCCTCCCATAAGGCTTAAAAAACCAGCAACGGTTCTTGGGCTCTTTGACGGAAAACAACGTTGAGAGAATTGGTTCTTGTTTCATTGTATTCCTTTCTTGTCGGCTTCTTCTGCTTCTGAACTTTTGCCAAGAAAAGCCTTTGGCAGTTTGCCTAATTATCCCAAGGTCGGTGATAAAACTGTGGAATGGTGTTTTGAAGAATTTTCTTTAATTTAGTTTGGACTACGCTGAGAATGAGTTAATTCTCAGCTGTTCTAATAAACTCTGTTTGTTTTCGAACTGTTTGCATTTAATACTAACTACTTGGGCCTGGTCACAACACCACAGGGGCCCATGTGTGCATGCATGGGGGGGCAGGGTACATGTGGGGGCCTATGCGCGCATGCATCGGGGTGGGGCACAAGCAGTGGGCTGTGTGCACATTACATTTTGGAGGTTTCGGTGTGTGCTTTGGGCACTCGGTTCAGAAAAGGTTAGCCATCACTGCTCTATACCATTTCAGAGAAATATCTGTTCTTCTCTTCTTAAAAGCCGCCAGGGATGGAGCAACTTCTGAAGGCAAGCCATTCTACTGATTGATTATTCTAACTGTCAAGAAATTTCTCCTTAGTTCTAGGTTGCTTCTCTCCTTGATGAGTTTCCACCCATTGCTTCTTGTCCTGCCTTCTGGTGCTTTGGAGAATAGCTTGGCTCCCTCTTCTTTGTGGCAGCCCCTTTGAATGCTGCAATCATGTCACTCTCTACTTCTTCTTTTCAATAGACTAAACATATCAAATTCCTGAAAACGTTCCTGTCTTGCGTCGTCTGAAGGAGCTATGTAACCATGTGAACTTTCTTAAGATGTTCTGGAAACAATATGTCTGCTTTGAGGAAAGGTTCATATCATGTTATCATTAATGTTAAGGAGCCCAGAATTGTTGTCTTAGAGAATTTAGCTTCTTGTCCTGCCTTCTGGTGCTTTGGAGAATAGATTGACCCTCTCCTTCCTTCCTTCCTTCCTTCCTTCCTTCCTTCCTTCCTTCCTTCCCAAGCTATACCAGACTTATATACCACTTCACAGTCCTTTTACAGCCCTCTCTAAGCGGTTTACAGAGTCAGCCTCTTGCCCCCAACAATTTGGCTCCTCATTTTGTGCACCTCGGAAGGATGGAAGGATGAGTCAACCTTGAGCCGGTCAGGATCGAACTCCTGGCAGCGGGCAGAGTTAGCCTGCAATAGACTGCAACTTTTTACTTCTTATTTTGCAATTTTGCTTCAGTCCCAGAGTTGCAGGTGCTTCATCGCTGGAGGTTTGGGAGAAAAGATCGGAAAGCCATTTGTCCGGGATAAGCTCTCCCTACCTTGATCAAGGGGGGTTGGACTAGAAGAGCTCTAAGGTCCCTTCTACTTCTGTGATTCTAGGTTCTTTGGCTCCTGAGCTTTGATGACGACAAGAATACGCTGGCCGATGCCGTGGACAAGTATTGCATTGGCGTCCCACCCATCCAGTGGCTGGCTTGGATCCCACAGCTCTTAACCTGTTTGGTCGGATCAGAAGGAAAACTCCTCTTGAACCTCATTAGCCAGGTACGGAGGTGGAGGAAGGGAAGGAGGAGGCGCCGTTGAATGGGTAGCATTCTTGAATAGTTGAAGGTGAAGGTAAAGATTCCCCTCGCACATGCGTGCTAGTCGTTCCTGACTCTAGGGGGCGGTGCTCATCTCAACTATCTGTCAGCATTCTAGTGCTGCCATAAAGAGAAGAAGAAGAAGAGGCTTGACTTTTCACCTACTTATTTTCTCTGTAGATAATATCCCCTAGGAGATGGGATGGGAGGGGGGACATTCCTGTGAGCTGAAGTCAGGAGGTGGGGAGACTGACTTGGAAGATGGCCAATGAGACGCTGAGAATTGGGGAACGGAAAGGGAAGGGTTTGGGGTCAGAGGGTTAGTGTCGGCTACGATGGAGTCGGGAACAGATTGTTGTACTCAATAAATGGAAGATTTCAGCAAAGATTATTTGTTTGGAAATGCAATTTATTTGAGATGACATCGAAACCTGACACTATCACTTTCAACATACATCTCCTCATTTAATTATCCCACCTCATTTTGTATTTTCCTAAAGAAACCCAACGTTATTGTCCTTATCTTCGTTGTTAAACCAATCATTTTTATTTCTTAATCATTAAACACAGCATAAACATTTGTTTTAGCTGTTGAACACAACATATCCTTTTATTATTTTTTTGGCTGTTACACAGCATGCCCTGAATTTTTGTGCGCAATGGAACGATTCTGGGGAAGGGGAAATGCCCAGACTTCGATGGATACAAAAACGGCTCCAAACAGGGTGGATTTGATTTAAATCGAGTTGATTTAAATCACAATTTAAATCATGATTTAAATCACTAGTAAAAAGGCTTGATTTAAATCAACTCGATTTAAATCATAATTTTTAAAGAGCAACTGTCATCTCTGCTACTCCTTTGACCCACTGTTGACTCACCGATAGTCCCAGTGTTGCAGAATATACAGCCTCCTGCTACATAACTAAGCTGCATTTCATGCTGAATAAACTAAATTATGTATGTATCTTAAATAGAAAACTATCTTACGATAGATTTTTACCCCAAAAGTTTTTTATTAAAATAAATTCGATAAAAATAAAAAAAATCCGATTTAAATCAAAAAAATCTGATTTTTTTTTTATTTTTTTAAAAAAATCATTGATTTTTATCCACCCTGGCTCCAAATTTATACTCCGGATGGACTCTTTTTCGGGTAGATTCCTCTTCAAAGCTCTCTGTGGTGAGAGGAGGCCGGTCAGATTTCAGATTTGTATACAATCCTCTCCACAATCGTCACGCGAACCTTTTGGTTTCGAGACAAACCTAGCCTTTCCGACGCCCCCTCCCTCCCTTCCTCTCTCTCTCTCGCCTTTATATAAATCATTATTAATTGATTTCACGGAGTCCAAAAGCTAGACGTGAATCCTTGGGCAGATCGCCGTATCACAACACTTCAGAGACGGCCAGTGAATTTTAACGCGCGCTTCGTTTTTTGGTTTTTCACGCCATAGGTTGGACGTGTTTACCCTCAAGCGGTTTACTTCCCCATCCGGACTCTCTATTTGACCTTGAAGATAGAACAGCGGGAGCGCTACAAAAGCGGTAAGCGGGGAACATCGCAATGCTAACAACAACAGATAGTCTGCAGATAGCTCTGCAGACTAAAGCACTGTAATTCAACACCAGCTGTCTGCAATTAAAGTAAGTTCGAATCTTGCCAGGCTCAAGGTCGACTCAGCCTTCCATCCTTTCTAAGGTGGGTAAATTGAGGACTCAGTTGTGGGGGCAATAAGCTGACTTTGTATAAAATATACAAAAGTATGAAGGCTATTGCTTAACACACTGTAAGCCGCCCTGAGTCTCCGAAGAAGGGCGGCATATAAATCAAATTTTTAAAAAAAAACAAAAACATGAGGACCCAGTTTGTGGGGGCAATAAGCTGACTTTGTATAAAATAGAACACCGCTTGGGGGGGGGCGAAAGCCCTACTAAACAGGTATATACAAAAGTATGAAGGCTATTGCTTAAAAGCATTGTAAGGCACCCTGAATCTCCGGAGAAGGGCGGCATATAAATCAAACTAAAAAACAAACAAACAAACAAACAAACAAACAAACAAGGTTGTTAGGTCAGGGAAAATGGAGTGGCTTTGCTTCCGGTGAGTTGGAGAGATAGGCAGATCCTTCCTTAGCCTTCTTTACTAATCAAAGAACGGGATTAGATGGTCTTCGTTGAACCTCATTGTATTGCTGTTTTAATAATCTTTTCGACAATGGGTGGAATTTAGCCGTTCTTAAAATTTGCAACTGCAGTCAGGGTGGTGTTCGGTGCTCTCTGAGCTTGGTGGTTTTCTTTGCAGACCTTTCATGACCAAACTAGGTAATGTCATCAGTGCTAGAAGGGAGTGGGGTTTGTGGGAGGAGGAGAAGGAGGAGGAGAAGATGGGGAAGGAGGAGATGGAGGAGGAGAAAGAGGACTGAGGGATCCTTGGTGGTGTTTCTTGCAAGACATTTCATCACCAAACTAGGTAACATCATCAGTGCTGGAAGGGAGTGGAGTTTGTGGTGAGAGGGGGAAGAGGGGGAAGAGGAGGAGGAGAAAAAGAAGGAAGAGGAGGAATGTGGAATCCTTGGTGCTCACTGAGCGTAGTTGTTTTCTGGCAGATGTTTCATTATCCATCTAGGTAATGTTATCAGTGTTACATGGAGAAGAAGAGGAGAAGGAGGAAGATGAGAAGGAAGGGGGGGGACTGGACTTGAGACTAGGACTGTGGGGTCCTTGGTGCTCTCTGAACTTAGCAGTTTTCTGGCAGATGTTTCATTACCCATCTAGGTAATGTTATCAGTGTTAGATGGAGAGGAGGAGGACTGGGTGGGGAGGACTGGTGCTCTCTGAGCTGGGTTTTCTTGCAGACATTTCATTAGCCAACTATGTAATATTATCAGTATTAGAAGGGAGTGGGGTTTGTGGAGTGGAAGAGGAGGCAGGGAAGGAGGAAGAGGAGGCAGAGGAAGACAGTGGGGTCTCTGGTGGTTTTCTCGCAGACCTTTCATTACCAAACTAGATAACATTGTCAGTGGTGAAAGAAGTGGGGTTTCTGGTGAGAGGAGGAACAGGGGGAAGAGGAGGAGAAGGAGGAGGAGGAATGTGGGATCCTTGGTGCTTTCTGAGTTTGGTAGTTTTCTCTCAGACCTTTCATTACCAAACTAGGTAACGTCATCAGTGCTAGCCCTTGGGTCTCGAACTTAAAGCGTCTTTGAGTTAGAGTTCCAGAAGCTTTGTGTTGTATCGCTTTCCCAACTTGATCTACTTGGAAGGGCTGACACCTCCTCCTTCCCATCTTCTCTCTCTCTCCAATCCCAAACCAAAGATTCCGGACAGCAGCAGCCGAGTTCCGTCGGAAGCCAGTCTCATTCCGCGTCGGATCCCGGGCCGATCCGAGCGACGGCCCCGATGTGGCGATGCAGCCGTATCATGCACATGCAGCGGGAGTTGCACCCCACGCTCCTCTCGTCTCTGGAAGGGATCGTGGATCAGATGGTCTGGTTCCGAGAAAACTGGCACGAGGAGGTAGGCCGCCCTTTCGAATCGGTCGATGGCAGCGGTGGGCTTCAAAAATCTTTAGCAAGGGGTTCTGTTAAGGATATTGGTGTTGTGTTACCAACCAGCAGAGTAAATGCACAAGGAAACGTTGCTGAGAGCAATGAATAAGAGTTATGCAAACTGGTTTATCAAAAGCTTACTTTATAGTAGGAAAACAGCCTCATAGTCTTTAAACAAATTCCAAGTCTTTGCCAGTTAAATCAGTCCAGTAGTTACAGATATCTTCTTACCAAACAAACATTAGTTGCTTAGAATAACAAACTCACTCTGGTTCACAAACCACGATGGTAGCAGATCCATCAAACTATGATTAGCAGAATGTTAGCAACTCCTCACTATGGCAGCATATCATAGCAGCTTCGTCACAGTGGCAGCATATCATAGCAGCTTCGTCATCAAACTGAATACGTTACAATACCTTGCTTAAATACTCTCACAACTAGTCATTACCTAATTACAGCATGACTCAGCATTACAACGAATACCTTTAAAGTAACATAATACATTTACAGTTTAAAGTTACAGTACACTTATATTGCCTGGACAACTTGTTTAGTTTAGTTTAGTTTTATTAAATTTGTATACCGCCCTACTCCCGAAGGACTCAGGGCGGTGAACAGGCACAGGATAAAATACAGAAATACGAAAGTTAAAAACAATTTAAAACCAAATGAAATAATATTGGCCCACGACAATTAAAATCCCAATAAATTTAAAACAAATTAAAATTGCGATTTAAAATTGAAAAGAAAGGGGAGAAAAAATTAGGCCAGGCCGGCTTGCTGGAATAAAAGGGTCTTAAGAGCACGGCGGAAGGTGCGCAGATCCGGGATCCTCGGATATGGCTCAAACCATATCCTAACAGGTTCTCTGCCCGGTTGCTGGGTGGGCGTGACCATGGTGGGTGTGGCTTAGTCGGCCTCCTGCACTATCGGGGGGAGGGAGGGCTTTTTGCCCTCCCCGGGCTCCAGAGGCTTTTCTTGAGCCTCCAGGAGGGCGAAAACAGCGTCCTCAACAGCCTCTCTCTCTCTCTCACTCTGTCTTTCTCTGACCTCTCCCACTTTTAGGTTCTCCGACAACTTCAGCAAGGCCTCGCTAAGTGCTATTCGGTGGCCTTTGAGAAGAGCGGGGCCGTTTCCGATGCCAAGATCACGCCCCACACCTTGAATTTTGTCAAGAAGCTGGTCAGCACCTTCGGCGTGGGCCTGGAGAACGTCTCCAACGTCTCCACCATGTTTTCCAGCGCGGCTTCCGAATCGCTGGCCAGGAGGGCTCAGGCCACAGCTCAGGATCCCGTCTTTCAGAAACTTAAGGGCCAATTCACAACAGGTGAGATATTCCGAGACGGGCAGGAAATTCAGTTTGGGTTTGTGTTGCCCTGATCCTGAACCTCAGTTTTATATTAACCAGGATTAAACCCGAATCTGAAAGCTCCCAGGTTTTCCCCACCCGAAAAAAAACCCAACTCCCTTTCCCCCTGCACCCACATGTCCATCACATGGTCCAATCAAAGCACCGTCCCAATTGGAGATGCCTCCCAGTTCCAGCCTTCCAGATGCAGGGCAAGATGTCCTTGACTCTCAGAGAAAGGAATGTTATTAGGACTACATATCACTCTGGCTCCATACAATCCCCCCTCCCAGTTTCTCACAGTAGTAAATGTGGCAGGCCTGAAGATCCAGTGCAAAAGATGGCGTCCAGGCCTGACATGTAATTCATTTGGCAGAAAATAAGAATTTTGATTTAACGGGAAACGGGAAGAGCCTCTCGGTGCCGCTGGATTAATGGCAATTTAATCACTCTACTGTTCCGCAGCTGATGGAAATCTTCCGGATTTATAATTTCTTTGCTGCCATTATATAGATAGTCAGTTCTCCGATGCCAAAGCTCTTAATCCACCTGTCAGTTATTCCGGTGTTTCAGAAGGAAGTTCAGAGCTGAGTCCAAAATGTACCTTCCCTTCAACTTAGATTGTCATGTTTTTTTGTTCCAAATCCGAAGCCCTTCCACCACCGCAGGTAATCAAAGATCGGATTTCGGGATTGATGCCAAAAAGGAGATTTTGTTTCTAACCACATTAAGCTGTCGGTAGAAGCGGCTCGTGCCATTCACGTTGCTGTTAATCCTTTGCCTTTTTAAATTTTTTGTTTTTAAAAAAAAGTCTGGATCAGGGGTGAAATGCTCCCGGTTCGGACCGGATCGCCCGATCCGGTAGCGATGGAGGCGGGTGGTTCGGAGAACCGGTAGCAAAAATCCCTGGCCTTCCCCCATGCCCAGCTGAGCCGCGCGATCATCAGAGGCATTTAAAAGAAAAAAAAGCCTCTGACGATCAGGCAACTCAGCTTGGATCGTCAGAGGCATTTAAAAGAAAAAAAGCCTCTGACGATCAGGCAACTCAGCTGGGATCGTCAGAGGCATTTAAAAGAAAAAAAGCCTCTGACGATCAGGCAACTCAGCTTGGATCGTCAGAGGCATTTAAAAGAAAAAAAGCCTCTGATGATCAGGCAACTCAGTTTGGATCGTCAGAGGCATTTAAAAGAAAAAAAGCCTCTGACGATCAGGCAACTCAGCTGGGATCGTCAGAGCCTTTTGAAAGCATTTTTTTTACAATCTCTTCGGTGAAGAAAAAATGGTTTTAAAAGTTAAAAAAAAAATTGGCCACGCCCACCCAGTCACATTACCCCCTCCCCCCCCACCAAGCCACGCCCACAGAACCGGTAGTAACTTAGTAGTAATTTTAGATTTCACCACTGGTCTGGATGTCATTAAACGAGGACAGCGTGAAGCCTTTCTCGGCACCCTAATTAATTGCGTCGCCTCTCGCCATTCCCATCCGGCCCCGCGAAGCAAAAACAAGAACCAGGAAGAAGACAGAAGCGAATTAAAGTGTTTTCGGTGGAGGAAAAAAACGATTCCTGCTGTGCAAAGAACGACTCACATTTTTTTACAAAAAAACCGCCCAAAAATCTTAACACTGCTGATTATTTTTCCACCCCAATTTTGCATATCGTTGGCAAGGTGGTTGTATTTCCCCCCCCGCCCCCGTTGGGGTGGGGGAATATTTTGGGCGCTTCAGGTAGCCGTAATTACCAAACCGTGATTGCGTCTTTCTCACTCGTCTGCCAAATCTTTTACTGCAATTGTTCACTAGAGGGTAGACTTGGAATTAAAGTTGAGGTGTTTTTTTTTTCTTTCTTTCTTTCTTTCTAACCTTCATCATTGACCCAAAGAGATGCTGGAAAAGATTTGGGGCAGTTCTTTCTTTCTTTCTTTCTTTCTTTCTTTCTTTCTTTCTTTCTTCCTTCCTTCCTTCCTTCCTTCCTTCCTTCCTTCCTTCCTTCCTTCCTTCCTTCCTTCCTTCCTTCTTTCTTTCTTTCTTTCTTTTTTTAAAAAGTGTTTCTTACAATAAATCTAATTTATAATTAATTAATTTATTTTAATTCTGGGGTGTGGTGGCTCAGTGGCTAAGACGCTGAGCTTGTCGAGCGAAAGTATGGCCGTTCAGCGGTTCGAATCCCTAGTGCCGCATAACGGGGTGAGTTCCCGTGACTTGTCCCAGCTTCTGCCAACCTAGCAGTTCGAAAGCACGTAAAAAATGCAAGTAGAAAAGTAGGGACCACCTTTGGTGGGAAGGGAACAGGGTTCCGTGCGCCTTTGGCGTTGAGTCATGCCGGCCACATGACCACGGAGACGTCTTTGGACAACGCTGGCTCTTCGGCTTTGAAACGGAGATGAGCACCACCCCCTAGAGACGGGAATGACTAGCACGTATGTGCGAGGGGAACCTTTACCTTTACAAATAAATCTATGGCGAGATGAATTTGAACCATCCATCTCGTTCTTAACGGGCATCCTGCAAAATGTTTTTGATCGGTGGCCTGTTGGGTTTCCCCACACAAGCGTGTTGGGTATCACAATGCATTATCAAGCAAGCTTGACAATCCTACGATCGAACGCAAGGACATAAATCGTGTTTGTGAATAAATAGGTTGGCTCCGTGCAAAACGTCCCCGCGGAGAGACAGCATCCCTTCCCTGCTTCACCTGTCCTCAGGTACGCCCGCCATTAAACGAGGAGGCTGTTGACAGAGATGAGTTGAAAGTGCCTCAAAATGGAAGAGGTCCTCTTTGTATTCTCGTCCCCCCCCCCTCCCGTCAATGATTGGGTTATTTTGATGTATGCGTCGTACTCTGGAGCAGGGCTGAAAAATTTTAGTTTTGAGATGGCAGCCTGTTTCAATCTTCGGAGCCCCTCTGGGCCGGCTGGGGATGATGGAGGATGATT